ACTTCTCAGGAGATTGAGACTGCCATATTTCAATAGGATAAAGAAGGGAAGACCAAGGCAGGATAGACCGGGGATAAGGGGAAGAACAAGAGACCTTTTTCTGGATCCCAGCAACAACAGCAAGGTCCTCATAAGAAGGGACCCCAGCATGATCAGAGAGCGCACCAGTAGCGTAAGTTCCAGGGAGTTTGCTATAACTACCACAAGGTCGGGCACAGGGCATCGGAGTGTCGCGGCACACCAGTAGGAGCTCAGCAGGGCAAGGGCCCGAACCAGCAGCAGCAATGGTAGTAGGGCAGAGTTTAGGGCCAGCAGACGAGACTTGAGGCACCGCCAGCAGCACAGAGGACTGAGGGGGTAGATTCATACAGTTCAGGAGGTTCCTCAGGGGCAGATAGTACCATATTCTCCAGCACTAGTAGCAGAGCAGTCTTCAGCCACAGGCAGAGTATATGCGGTAGTACCGCGTGATCATGAAGCTAGCGGAGCAGTGGTGGAGGGTACGTTTCTTGTGAATTATTTTCCCACCCGTATTCTCTTCGATTTGGGAGCTTCGCATTCCTTCATTTCGCATGATTTTATGTCTAGACTCCAGCTCGTAGCACAACCATTAGACACCCCTTTATCAGTTTTCACCCCTTTAGGTGAGATATCGCTTCTGGAGAGCGTTTGTAGGAGGTGTACTATCATCCTAGATGAGTTGGAGTTCGTGGTTGATTTGATAGTGTTGCATATGTCCGAGTTCGATGTCATCCTTGGTATGGATTGGTTGTCTTCCTACGATGTTAGTATTGATTGCTTTGCGAAGACAGTCAATTTGTGGGCGTTCGATGGGTCCGAGATGATTGTGGTAACCTCTCAGGGTAACCGTTTTGCGAAGTCATTTCTGGCATACATCGAGGAGGTGATGCGACGGGATCAGGGCATTGATTTATTGGAGATTAGAGTTGTCTCAGAGTATCAGGATGTCTTTCAGGACATACCTGGATTACCTCCTCTGAGAGAGGTTGGGTTCTGTATTGAGTTGCAGCCAGGCACAGCCCCGATATCCGGAGCACCCTATCGCATGGCACCAGCTGAGATGAGGGAGCTTCAGACTCAGTTGGACGAGTTATTAGCTTAGGGTTTTATTCGTCAGAGTCATTCTCCGTGGGGCGCACCGGTCCTCTTCGTGAAGAAGAAGGACGGTAGTATGAGATTGTGCATTGATTATAGGGAGTTGAATAAGGTCACTATCCGGAATAGGTACCCATTGCCTAGGATTGATGATTTGTTCGACCAGCTACAGGGAGCATAGTTCTTCTCGAAGATTGATCTTCGTTCTGGTTATCATCAGTTACAGGTTCGGGAGATGGATATTCCCAAGACCGTCTTTCTTACTCGATATGGATCTTTCGAGTTCATGGTCATGCCATTCGGATTGGTCGCACCCGCGATATTCATGGATTTGATGAACTGGGTTTTCCACCTTTTATAGTCCCTTGTCTTTGAGAGGTTGACTCTTGGCTTGGACTATGCACTGGAGGCGGCTGAAGGGTGAGCAGTAGGGCTACTGAGTCATCCTTCTTCTTCCAGATGTTGGCTGGTGCTTGGAAGAGAAGTCACTCAAGTACATGAGAGAAATGGTTTCTCAGTGTCCTGGACTTGTCAGATGAGGCAGGGCGTAGGATAGGTCGGCTGCTTGGCCGTCCTTCTCTCTCCAGGTGGTGACTGGCGAATGGAGGAGATGTCACTCGTGCACAAGAAAGCATCATGGCGATCTCTGGGAAGTGACTTGTAAGTATAATATGCGGCTTGGGCACGAGGCTTGTCAGAATGGAAATCTTGATGGGATCAATCACTACTGTTGTTTGGATATTGTAATATCTACCAAGAAATTTCTTTCAGCACAGTTCAGCATGAAGGACCTTAGAACTGCGGACGTGATTCTTGGAATCAAAATCATATACTCTGAAGAGGGTATTGGATTGTCTCAATCTCATTATGTCGAGAGCATGCTAAGGAAGTATGGCTACTACGACCTGCCAGAACTGTTAGTGCCATATGATTACAACAAGAAGCTTCGACCGAACACTGGAAGACCAGTAGAGCAGCTGAGGTACTCAAAGATCATTAGGAGTCTTATGTACGCGATGAGCTACACAAGGCCATATATAGCATTACCTGTAGGAATGCTTAGTAGGTTCACAAGTAATCCTAGAAAGCTTCATTGGGATGCTGTCCAGAGATTGATGAGATACGTAAAAGGAACTACAGGTCTGCGCCTATTCTACACTGGATATCCGGATGTAATCGAAGGCTATTCAGATGCGAGCTGGTGCTCAGAACCAGATGAGTGCAGATCTACTGGAGGATTTGTCTTCACCATGGGTGGAGCTGCCGTCTCGTGGAAGTCTAAGAAGCAGACCATGATTGCACAGTCATCAATGGAATCTGAATTCTTCACACTCTATGTTACAGGAGATGAAGCTGAGTGGCTCAGTTGTATTCTCCAAGACCTTTTATTGACGGAATTACAAGATGCAATTACTATCTATTGTGATAATCAGGTGGTAAGTGCTGTGGCAGCAAACTCGATGTTCAATGAAAAGAAGCGGACCATTCATCTGAAGCATGGCTATTTGAGAGAGCTCATTTGTTAAGGAGTCATCTCTGTGATTAACGTCTGAACTTCAGAGAATGTGGCTAATTCTTTGACTAAGGGTCTGAAAAAGGACATAGTCGAAAGGACGTCTGCTGGAATGGGTCTCAAAGTTTTGTAAGTCTTACAAATACTTACCATGTTTATTGAATTATTAGTTCAAAGCTTATGCTACTAATAATAAAATAATTGGCTCAAAAGTCAAGTAAGATTTGCAAAGTTTGTAGTCTTATAAATACTTACCATTTACATCAAGTTATTAGTTCAAAGCTTATGCTACTACTGACAAGATAAGTTATTAGTTCAAAGCTTATGCTACTACTGACAAGATAAATAGTTCAAAAGTCAAGTAAGATTTACAAGTGAAAGGATTCAAGTTTTCTTGGATTAGAAATAGTTCAAAAGTCAAGTAAGATTTACAAGTGAAAGGATTCAAGTTTTCTTGGATTAGTCGGTGTCTATGGCAAGGTTTCGGGGTTGCGTAACGCGCTCTGTAAGGAACGAGATACTTAATTGATCTTTGATCAACCTCTAATACTATCCTTACCTGGCTGAACTACCCGAGTAAAACTTTGATCTTTTCACTTAGAATCCTATCATGTAAAGGGGATGGCTGTTAAGCCTTAATGAGTCCAAAATATTTCGGATGTGGGGTGTTAGATAGGAAACACACCTAAAGGACTCACTTAGAATCCTATCATGAGAGAGGGTGGCTTTTAAGCCTTAATGAGTTTAAAGCATTTCGGATGCGGGATGTTTAATAGGAAACATACCTAAAGAACTCACCTATGCATGGGTGGAGATTTGGCCATCTCCTATGGTGCCTTGTGGAAAGATACCTAGAGCCCTAACAGAAACCAGGACATGCACAGGGCCATAAATGTGCAAAGACAAAGGCAAGGCCAAGGCAAAGGCAAAGACAAGTGTGGTTCAAAGTAAAAACTATCACAAATAAGATTGATCTAGTGTGATCGCTGGATTTTTAGACATGTGCTGGTTCAAGTCTCTGCGACACCATGCACCTATCTTTTATTCAGTTGGTCTAAGGGAGATTCAAGTCCTTACGACATCTACCTTATACACAACGATTGAAACGACAGCACCGTTACACGACACTAGTTTAAAAAACTTGTGGGGGATTGTTGGATATAGTTTATTAAACTAAAGTCAAAAGTGTTGCCTAACATATTTTGAAAATGGATAAAAACAAAATTGCTGGGTCCCACATTTTTTGAAAATGAAAATAAAACCGTGGTTGAAATCTCTCTGCACCGAAATCAGCTGTAATTGTTGAAAAATAAAGAGTGTGGGCCCTACATAAATAGTAACTAATATTATTTTATTAGTGCATAGTATTTTCCCAAACGCTATAAATAGACCTCAAATCCTTTTTATTAGTGCATAGTATTTTCCCAAACGCTATAAATAGACCTCAAATCCTTAAGGAAAATTCATTCCAAAAACAACAATCAATATATACAGATATAGATTGTAAAATAGCTGGTGCTTATTGGAATTTTGCCTGATAGATCGGGGAGATCTTTTGCCTGATAGATCGAGGAGATCTTTTGCCTGAGAGATCAAGGAGATCTTTGCCTGATAGATCGAGGAGATCTTTGCCTTATAGATCAATGAGAACTTGACAGTACTGTGTCGGTGCACACCAGAGTACTGGACTACTGTTCCTGGAAGCAATTTGGCCTTGAGATCCTTGCATCGGAGTAGGCCAAATAATGCTTTAAGCACAGCGTTTTACAAACGCACAGCAGCAGAGTTGAAAATTGAAATTACTGTACTTTAATTTTCTGTTTAGTTTTTGCTATTATATATATATATATTAATTATTCCAGATTTAACAATAGGCGCGAACGGTATTTTCTCTAATAAAGAAATAAAAGCTTCTTGTCCGCATGGTTTGCACATTGCCAAAGACGGACTTTGACATGCTCATTGGTGCGATTATAAGATGTGAGATCCAATGAATAAGTGCCGAATTGTTTGGCTCATCCACCGTGAGAAAATAGTTAACCATGCATTACTTAAATCCTTAGGCTTACTATCTAAGCCCATCAATGTACACTCTAGCAGTAAAAAAAAAAAAAACTTTTTGTAGGGAAGCAAGATAAGACACTAGCACAATATCCACATAATATGTACACAATCTCCGAGGGAGGATAGTACAGAAGAAGTGAAAGAGCAACGAGCTCGTTTTCTCACGTCAGTTTAATTTGTTGCAAAACCAGAGCTGATTTTCTCACGTCAGTTTTATTCCAAAGCCATCCCGATTAGTTACATAAATTTAGGAGACAAACATCACACTTGACAATTCCCAAAAGTGGTTCAGAAGAAGTCATGACCGTAACAAGCTTATTTTCTCACCTCAATTTATTCCGAAATCATGCTAATAATTACCACAATGCAACACACTAGTCAGTATTCATCAGCACAAACAAATAGCAGATAAGCAACCCTTTTACTCAATCATTTTCCTTCGTAGATCAGTAATTCCCCCCAATAAAGACTCTTTGGTCACCGCCGCGTCCTCCTCCACAACCATCTCCTCCTCCACCACCACCACCGCCTCCTCCTCCTCCATTCACCTGGACGTTAACGCGTCCTCCTACGTTATGCTGGAAATTAATGTGCTCGATTTGTCCTGTCGACATCATCTCATATGTTTTATTGATTACGTAGTTAGCATAATCACCACCATCATTGTTGCCGCAATAAAGAGTGGCGCCGCGAGAGTTTACAATTTGATTCTGCATGGAAACAAGATTATAGTACATATCAAGATAGTTGCCATGCAAAGAAATAATAAGATATAGAGAGGGAGATACCGATGGTAATATGTAATAGTACGCCTGCAACAACAATATGAAAATTGAGAATAAATTAATACGAGGAAATTATATAATCACATCAACTAGATCATAATCTTGATTAGCATGCTTTTGAGGGAGAGAGAGAGTACCATGATGCCAATGGTAGATAGTTGTGATGATAACTCAATCCCAGGACCTAACGTCCATATTTATAAGTGGTAGCAAGTCTACTTTCTCTCTGATCTCTATAATTTAATTAATTAATAATGGTTCTTATCCTCTTATATATATGGAAAGTATTAATCTATGACTAAAGCAATGATGCTGACTTATGGGACATTCATTTCTTTAGAGGTTAGTCACCTGGCACTCTTTAAATAGAAATGGAATACTTGTTGAAAGAACAATTTAATCTCTGTACTAGCTAGGACCCCCACTTTCTTTTTTCTCAGTTAAAGACTTTTTTTTTTGGTCAATGAAAAAAGATTTTATTCATTTACCAAGTAAGCAGTTAAGAAGTACATCACAAATTACAGATCGAGCCTAGTAAAAACACTCATGCTACTCAAAACAATCCCTCTAAGTACTCCCTTACGTGTATTGGAACATTCTCATTCAAAATTTTTGAGTAAATGATGAACTTCACTGTACGGAACAATATGTCAGGTTCTCAAGCTTTTTGCTGAAAAATTCTGATATTCCTTTCCTGGCATATCATGTACACTGAAGTCAACAAAGCCATCCTCTTTAATTTCTTCTTAAATCCATTCCCTCTCAAGTTCATATTGTACCAGTTTACGAGCCGATTCCAACTACATGACCTCTAGTTAAATCCAAGCCAGTCCATAACTTTGTTCCATACTTCTGATGAATATTGACATTCAAAGTAGAGATGATGACAGGTTTCCAATTGCCGGCTGCTTGAGCTCAGAACACATTGATTAGTGTTTAGTATTCCCAATCTACACAACCTTTCTTGTGTTAGAAGCCTGGATAGAGAGGAAAGCCATAGGATAAATGAATGCTTAGGATAATGCCATCCCCCCAAATAGTTTCAGAGAATACAAGTGCTGGTGCTTGCTGATTGATCTTCCTGTATATAGAAGATATACTGATGTTTCCATTATCACAGCAGCCATTGAGAATGTTCAACAGGTTATCAACATTTCCAAATTTTATTCTCATTATATCTCTTACCCTTAGCATTTGCTTCCACATCCATGAATCATTCTCTTTAGGTTGAACTTGCCAAATATTTGATTGCCTCAAATAGTTGACGTGCACTCATTTAATCCAAAGAATGTCCTTTATGAGATGTATCATCCAAAGGAGCTTAGCCACAGATGCATAATTCCATAATTTTGCCGAATATACTCCCAATCCACCATTCTTCAAGTCCTAACAGATAGATAACCAGGACACCAAATGTATTTTATGTCCCTAGAGAAAACCAGCACATATGTTTTCAATCTTTTCTAGAACTTTAATAGGTAGCATATAATTGCTTGCCCAGAAAATTTGAATTCCCAGGATAATTGACTAAATCACCTACAATCTTCCTGCATAAGATAGAGTTCTGTTGTTTTGACAGTTTTGAAATTAGTCTGATACCTTGTTTATAAGAGGAGAACAATCCAGCCATGAAAGCCTCTTAGAGACAAGAGGGACACCAAGATATCTCACTGGTAACAACCCCCTCTGAAAAATTAAGATAGTTGCATATTTGAGTCTTCAAATCATCTCCAATGCCACTCATGTATATGGAGCATTTTGCTGGGTTTGGCTCCAATCCAGAGACCCAACTAAACTCCATGAGGCAATCATTCAACCTTTGATATAGAGTAAAGATCAGCTTTGCCAAATAAGAGGAGGTCATCTGTAAAAATTAGATGTGTGATTTTCATCCTGGAATATTTTGGGTAAACTTGTAAAGCTCGTCTTCTTTGAGAGTCTTGAGTTTTCTAGAGAGGTACTCCATTCCTATTACAAACAAATAGGGGGATAATGGATCTCCTTGCCTTAATCCTCTAGCTCCTTGAAAATAACCATGTAGAGTACCATTAATAGATAGAGAGTACTTTAGAGAGGAGATGCATTCCATGATCCAAAGAATCATATTGCTAGGGGAACCCCAAGCCTGTCAACATGCACCTAATAAAATCCCAATTGATGGTATCAAATGCTTTTCTCAAATCAATATTCAAAATAGCTCTGGGAGAAGTATATTTTCTGCCATAATGCTTGATGAGCTCATGTGCTAAAAGAATGTTAGTTGAGATGAGCCTTCCTTTGACAAAAGCACTCTGAGCATCACTAATCAAGAATCCCATGACTTTTTGAATCCTATTTGCAATGATTTTTATAATAATTTTGTAAACACAATTGCAACAATCAATTGGCCTGAAATCTGCAGCAGACTGGGGATTGAGAGTTTTAGGGATCAAGGTAATGGATGTAGTATTGAATGTACCAAGCATCCTACCAGAGCAGAAGAACTCCTCAATTGCTAAGTATAAATCTTCACTAATGACACTCTAAGAAGTCTTGAAAAATAGCGCACCAAATCCATCAGGTCCTGGGCTTTTATCATTTGACATAGAGAAGACAACACTTTTAATTTCTCTCCTAGTGACAGGTAATCTTAGCATGGCTCTTTGATCAGATGAAAGCTGGGGACCATTTGAAATCACTTCATGGTCAGGAATAGATGTGGAAGCAGAAGTACCCTGGAGGTTTTTATAGTATTCAATGAATTCTGCTATAATGTCAGACATTTCCGTGATTCTGGATCCATTTGCAGTATACAGGGACAAGATCCTGTTTTGATGCCGTTTCTTTTACATTATAGAATGAAAGAAATGTGAGCTTTTATCCCCATGTAATCCCCAGTTTATATTAGCTCTCTGCCTATAGAAAGAAGTTTCACATTCCAACAGCATGACATATTTGCTAATGCATTCCTTTTCCTTAGATATCAGATTGAATAAATCAACATTTAGTTGCCTTTGAATGTCACCTAGCTCTCATTTAGCTCTATTCACTTGCTCACTTATATTCATAAAGTGTTTTTTGTTCAAGTCTTTAAGAGCAGGTTTGAGCTTTTTAAGCTTGGAATGAAACTTGAACATCTTGTACCCATGAATATCCTGCTCCCACACTGAGGTAATTGTGGAAATAAAATCTGGATGCTTCACCCACATGTTGAAGAATTTAAAAAGGTCTTTTTACCCTCAAAATCATCATCTCCAATTGTTAGAAGTACTGAGGAATGATCAGAGCAACTTGGTACAAGATATTCCACTTGACTAGATGTATAAAGTTGGATCCAATCCTCATTAACCAAGCATCTGTCCAATCTAGACCAGATTCTGGAATCAACCTCTTGTTTATTACTCCAAGTGAAGTAGCAACCAGTTGAGCTGATGAGCAACAATTGGCTTGAAATAATAAAATTCTGAAAATCCTCTGTTAGCTTTAGTAACTGGTGCACCTCCAACCTTTTCTTCACTATTAGTGATTGCATTAAAATCTCCACCAACTAACCAAGGACAGTTGACATTTTGTTTAAATGTCAATAAATCATGCCAAAGAGACCTCTTGCTAATCATTTGATTGAGAGCATAGACAATAGTACATACACAAGAAAGCCTTCCATCCCTGAATATAATAGAACAAGTCAGGTACTGTTTTGAAGATTTAATAGTTTGAACTGTGAATACATCATTATTCCAGAGAATCCATATTCTTCCATTTCCATCTTCTTGAATATTTGAAGTCCATCCCCATTTTTTGTTATTTTCTTTGCCAGAATCTGTAGCTTACTTGCAGGGAGTTTTGTTTCCAGAAGAGCTAAGAGGGAGAGTTTATATTCTTGAATAAATTGCTTCACTAACATATTCTTAGAGGATTTATTAAGTCTTCTAATGTTCCATATAGCAAGATGCATTAATGAGATGATCCTCCCCTATCCACACTAGATGGATCAATCTGTTGCTCTAGCAGGGAGAAATGAGATATTTGGATACATGGAGTACCTGGCTCAACTACATTCACTCTTCTTCTTGTATTTCCTCTATTAACACTCGTGAATCCAGATGCATTGACAATTGGAGTTGAGAAATTGATTGTTTGTTTTCCAGCCATATGCTGTGCACGTTTTTGTGCACCAGGAGAGCCATTAGCTGTATGCAAACCTGAAATATTTCCCCTCACATGTTCTTGATGAGAGAAAACATTGAAAAGATTTGGAGACCCCTCTCTGATTCCCTACATATCTGATTGTGCATGTTCTGCCACAGATTACACACCCTGACTTCCAGTCATATGCTGTGCATGTTTTCTTGCCTGAGAACCCTGACCTGGTAAGCCACCTACTTCTGAAACATTTTCCTTCTCCTGCACTGAGGTACTAAGAGTAAAATTTTTAGTAATTCTCCTCCCTCTGATTTCCTGCATACCAGGACCAGGAATAGGATGATGTGATGCATTTTTTCCACTTGCATGTTAATATGTATCCACATCTTTTTAGTTTTATTTTTCCTACATTGCTCAGTGTCATGGCCAACCCTACCACAAGAAGAGCACCATCTTGGTTTGAATTCATATAGCACTGATTGCATATAACTACTTCCATCAGGGCCTTGAATGACCAATTGATCAAGTAAAGGTTCTTTCAAAGGTAGTTTCACTTCTAGCAATACTCTTGCATAACTCAGCCTTTGTCAAGTGGCTATAAGCTTATCAGTAGCAATTGGATTCCTAATGAGGCTAGCAATCTTACTAATGCCTGTTGAACTCCACAAATCAAGCCTCAAATTTGGGAATTGTACCCACATTGGATAATAATAATTTTACAGCTTATCTAAATCTGTGTCAATGCTCCATGGCTTCAACATTAGGGGTCTAGATCCAAAAAACCAAGGTCTTGCCTCAAGAACAACATTCATTTGATTCTCAGTTTGAAAATAAAAAAGGAATAGCCCTTGTTTAATTAATGTGACCTTCGATGTAGAGATTTTCCCCCATAATTTGCTAACATAGGATTCCATAGATTTAAACTTGACATTTAATCCTATGACATGTCCGATTAAAGCATTTTTCCATAAGTTTTCTCCCTCCTTCAATTCATCAGCAGAGAAAGAAACCGTGTTGGATTGAGTAGATGGCATGAAGCATAGAGATAATCCATTGTCTGGTCTTCTATTGTCAACAAATAAGCTAGCATATGATTTCCTAGATCCAATTTCTACTTTTTCTATG